AACAAGGCGAAACTGGAAGAAAGCAGCGCTTCCCCTTCGAGGCAGGGCATTCAGTGAGGACAGAACCGAAGAAACACTGGTCAGCTGGGATGGTTAAGGTTTTGACCTAGGCCTAGAGGAAAGGAACTCTCTCAGTTACTGGAACTAAATCCTTCATGCAAAAACGTCACTGTTTTAAACGCTTTTGGAGCTGTATCCCACCTTACTGCTTCAGTGGAACAAAGCAAGACGCCTTTGAGCTCTTCAGCGTATAAAAAAATGTGTTGCACCGAAGACGGCCTTGACACCATTTGGGAATCAGATACTCGAAATAGCACAAAAGGGAACTGCACTTGCAAAATTGCAAGTGCATTCTGGGAAAGTGCAGGCAACTGGACCAACAAATCATCTGTAATCTAGAAGTTCTAGGATTTAAAAGAATGTGAATGGGCCATTAAAGGTCGATAGGAAAACCAGATAAAAAAGATGCCATAGTGTCAATAATTCCAGCGGATAATTAGTTGAAACATATCACTCCCCGCCTCACTTGATAGGTGCTGGACGCCACATCCATATTGCAACGGCGCAAAACTAGGTACTTGGCTCAGTTACAGCAACTCCACGTTAAATTAATACGGTCGTGGTGCGAATGTTGCGCAAGTACTGCCACAGTGTGGATGCATTTCCGCACACCTTTCTCCACCCCCTTCTAACAAATGAAACAAATTGAACCTTAATTCAACTTTCATACAATTATCGAAGTTTTCAAAATGCACATTCGTAAATTTCCTAGCTTCCCTCTTATAGCAACCCCGGCATAGTAGGTTGTAACTTCTGTTAGTTATGTCAAGCCTAACAAGGTAGGTAAAAAGGCTCTTATTAAATCAGACCAAGGTTTCGCTGAAAGGTCGTCTTCGGAAGTCTAAATGTGGTTCAAAGTTCTGATTTATGACCGTTTACCGAGTGCCTTATCTTCTCTAGCGGTTCCATTCGCATTCTGGCGCGAACTAAAGTCCAAGCAATGCAGAGAACAAACTCACCCGGGGTTCCGCCTTTTGAGCGGAAAAATCCGCCGCCACACTTAAGCGTTGGTAATTCGCGACTAATACATATTATACTGTATCTTGATATAGTAAATAATGTAAACGTCAGTGCAGCGCTCTTATTACTAATCAGGCTTCGCTATGGCTGTAGTCCGGCGACTATGTGAACTCTCGCCATTCATACACACTTATGCTGTAGACTCATCATAGAGCTATACTGCGCGCTTCCACACATTCATTCATTAACATATGACAATACATTACTCATCATTAATTAACTTTGCACGGATAACGGAATTGTTCGCTCAAAGTAGACCTTGTAGTTTGTTTCGCTTGAATTACTTTGTTTCCGCTTCGGGTTCCTCGACAAAAGACTGTCCCCCCGGATTTCTTGCTGCTGATAGAATAGAAGCGCTCTCTGACGCTACGAAGCGTAAATCCGAGTTTGAACCACTTTAGGCGCTCCGCAAACGACGTATTACGATTAATAACCTTAGAGCGATAAATAATGGAAGTTCTCACATACGTACCTTGCTAAGTGTCAGTTCTAGATACGAAAAATGTACAATAAAAATACATAATAAAATAATAATTAATGTAATATCATAATAATAATTAAAATATATATTATAATACATTAAATTATATATTGTCATATTCGATGTGTATAGACATAAATCCTCCGCTCGATTCATTTTTAACTATTACTTCTTGCATCAGCGCGAACTCCCCCTTCCCATCACCATGACATGTAGCGCTGGCAGCCCAGTGTACAATCACTGGTTTTCTTCTCCTCACAAGATAATCTGACACCGACTTATCATCCAGAATACTAAAAGCAATGTTTGTCCATGGTGCGGGAGCCGCTTTTCGCGATAAAACTTGGATCATTCGCGGATGTTAAGCATGCCACTTTCCCTGAGCTACACCTACCAACAAAGTTTATCTAAACGGATCAAAAATTATGTGCATTTCGGCCTCGGGGAGGGTGGCATGAATGAGTGGTCTTCTCCTCTGAGCTGTAGTCAGCCACCTGTGAAGACCTGTAATGCTGGTAACAAAAGCTCACTTCGGCGGTGTTATCGGGGGCGGGGGCTGGGGGGGGCCTATTTGTCATTTAATGCTTCGTTGACATAACTCTTCACTCTGGTAAAATATTATATAACGATTGTAGCTGGATGCAATCTTTTCCTACCCCTTATTCTTATCCAAAAAGTTGTCAATCTCGAAAAAAGGTTACCTAGTTGTGTTGTTGGAATCATGAGAAGCAGAATGTCTCCCCGTCGACAAACAGCGCCGCTCATTTCTATGCAGCTTCACATGAATTTAGAGGTCTCGCCAGATTTAGCGTGTTCATTCAGCATGAACTAACAAAGGAACTAGCAAAGTGCAAAATGCTTCCTCCAAGCCGAACAGCGCCCAAATATATTTGATTGCTACGTAAATATTCAAACCAGTGAAAACCTCCTCAGCCTGCAAAAAGAATCACATAGGCCTATAATAGGCTTAAAGAAAAACCATTTCAGAGCTGCCAACACTGGCTGAAGAAAAACGAGGAACCAGTGCACTTTTAGAGCTCATTATTCCAGTCTCGCAACAGTTTCCATTGCAGCGCAACGTTTTGAAAACAATAAGCTATTACGATCACATTACTAAATTATTATGAATATGAATGGGCATGACCCATTTGAAATAGTATTGTTTACGAAAACACGTCTGGAGTGAGCACGAAAAAAAAGGAAAATAATGAAAGTTCACTCACTTAGCTTCAGGCATTTGATCGTAAACTCTTCGCAATGCTGGCGCCATCTTATTCGTTACCGTTCCAGCAACGAAAATGAGGTCAGTCTGCAAAAGGAGATGATCATTATCTGAAGTCGGTATAGAACGGAACTATATTGATATAACTAGTGAGCGTTCAACAGCGAATTCGCTATTTGTCACTAGGTTTTGCAAAAAATAACAATTCCGAGGTTGAAAAGTCTTAATTATGAACGCTACCAACTACAGATATGTGTCCAAAGTATACACGAATTACCTATTCCACCTTTTGGAATCTATATAGTCACTCGTAGTACTACCTCAATCCAATGTTCACTTTGACGATCTTGAAAGGCTGTTTCCGACTACACTGATCCGCATCAAATGTGCAGCACCGCCAGTTTCTAGAGCAAGGGTAACAGGAAGATAGTTCAGGCCCATCCTGACATCGAAATCCTGAGAGCGACATCCGGAGCACACGAGTTTTCTTCCACCCAGACAGGGGAGATCACCGGGTTCAACGTCAGTGCTGTGCACCTGCGACGGACTTGCAATTTACTGGGCGCCATCTTGGGTTACGGTAAGCTACCGGTAATTCTGTAGTTAGATTCTTATAATGCGTGGACGACGAGTCGTACACTGCTCCTAGACACGCCAGGGGTCC